GCTCAGCTTTTATATTTAGGACACTGATCAATTGTAGCTTAATTTTTGTATGAACTGTGAGTTCAGAATCGGTTTTTGTCTGGCTCTTTAGTTGTTGGCAGTATTGGTGAAGGACATTTTCTTCTTCCACTGGTACTCACTGCTGGTGTATAGAAACGGGAGCTGGCTGCTACCAGATTTTTTTTGTATTTGCTTTAGTGGCTTTCTTGGTGCATTACTGGGGTTTTCCTTTTTCCTTTCCTTTCCTTTCCTTTCCTTTCCTTTCCTTTCCTTTCCTTTCCTTTCCTTTCCTTTCCTTTCCTTTCCTTTCCTTTCCTTTCCTCTCCTCTCCTCTCCTCTCCTCTCCTCTCCTCTCCTCTCCTCTCCTTTTCCTTCCTTCTTTTTATTTCTTTTTTCTTTTTTTTTGAGACAAGGTTTCTCTGTAGCTTTGGAGCCTGTCCTGGAACTAGCTCTTGTAGACCAGGCTGTCCTCAAACTCATAGAGATCCGCCTGCCTTTGCTTCCCTAGTGCTGGGATTAAAGGTGTGTGCCACCACTGCCTGGCAGAATTTTCTGTATATAGGATCATCCTGTCTGCAAATGGATTTACTTCTAATTTGGATACATTTCATTTGTTTTTCCTTTCCTTTTTTTCTGTCTCTCTTTTTAAAAGCAGCAGGTTCTCTTAGCCATGGAACCCTCTCTCCAGCCTTTTCCTTCCTTTTTGGAGGTAGTCTCACTAGGTAGCCTTGGCTGGCCTCGAACTCCTGAGGGCTGAGATTAAAGGCGTGTGCCTCCGTGCCCAGCCTCCTTTGCTTGCGTTCCCTGTTCCCTTCGTGCTCTGGCTTGAACGTCTCTGCCATATTGAACAGCAGTCATGAAAGCAGGCATCCTGGCCTTGTTCCTCGTGTTCGAGGAAAGCTTTTTCGTCTTTCACCACCGAGTGTGATGTTAGCCGTGGGTTATAAAGATGCCTTAACATATTGAGGGAGTTTCTTTCTGTTCATAGTTTTCTGATATTTTATCATTAAAGGATGTTGGATTTTTAGTGATGATTTTTTTCCGAATCAACTCAAATAGCGATGTTGGTTTTCTGTTTTGTTCTATTGATGTATCACACTGGTTCCTGAAGTCTTTATCCTTGGAATGTTTTATCCAGCTCGGGGATCTAGAATACAAGTCAGTTAGGAATTGTTTTCTTCTTCCTGTTTCTTTGGGCGAGTTTGAGAAGGACTGATGATGGTTCTTGAAGTGTTTCTGGTCATGCCATCTGCTACCACCTTTCTGTTGCTGGTAGGAAGGTTGTGATTTCTCAGTCAGTTTCCTTGTTTCGAGTCTGTTGAGATTTTTCTATTTCTTCTTGAGTCAGTTTTTGTAATTTGTGGATTTAAAAAATAACTGTCTGCCTATTTAGCTTATCTAGTTTGGTGGCAAATGATGGTTCATAGTATCATTTTGTATTTTATTTTTTCTGAAAGACTGGTGGCAGCACCCTAAGTCATTTCTGATTTTATTGTATTTTTTCAATATATTGTTTTTTTTTTTTAAAGTCAGTGGTAGCTGGGCGATGGTGGCGCACGCATTTAATCTCAGCACCCAGGAGGCAGAAGCAGGCGGATCTCTGTGGGTTCAAGGCCAGCCTGGTCTACATGAGCTGGTTTCAGGACAGGCTCTAAAACTACAGAGAAACCCTGTCTTGAAAAAAACAAATAAGTAAGTAAGTAAGTAAGTAAATAAATAAATAAGTCAGTTGTAGCACAATTAATAACCCAGAGACAGATAATTGGGGTTCATTCTGAAGGTCAGAAAAGCAAAACAGCCAGCCACTGGCTCTTACTCTACCTCAGTCTGAAATGGTGATGCTGCCTCCAGGAATCTCAGAATGAGACTGTGTGAGAGCTGTCTCCTCACTTCTTATATTCCTCTCTAGGGCTGGGATTAAAGGTGTGCACCACTACTGCCAGGTTTCTGTGGCACACTAATGTGGCTACAGGGATTAAAGGTGTGTGCCCCCACTGCTTGATGTGTAAGGCTGACCGGTGGAGCTGTTTTACTCTCTGATCTTCAGGCAAGCTTTACTTATTAAAATGCAAATGAAACATTACTACAGTCAGTCTAGCTAAAAGTGTGCTGACTCCTTGCATTATTTATGTGCATGAAGGTTTTGTCAGCATGTTTGTCTGTGCACCATGTGAGTGCCCTCGTGCCAGCAAAGGTCAGAAGAGGACTTTGTGGATTCCTGGAACTGGAGTTAATGGATGGTTGTAGGCTATCATGTGGGTTCTGGGAATCGAACCCATGTCCTCTGCAAGAGCAACAGCTGCCCTTAATGGCTGAGCTGTCTCCCCCAATACAAGGTCTATGTCACCCTGACTGTCCCGGGGCTCACTATGAAGACCAGGCTGACCCCTAACTCACAGAGACACCACAGCCTTTGCCTCCAGTGCTAGATTAAAAGTGTGTGCCACCACGTCCAGTATGCTGGTGCTTTTGTTGTTGCTGAGACAAAGTCTTGTTATGAACCCCTGGCTGGTCTTGAACTTGCACTGACTTTCCTGCCTTTCAATGTTGGGATTATAGACATATGCTACCATGCTTAGGTCTTCCAACTCCTTTTTTTCCAGTACTGGGGATGGAACCTGACACTTGGGTATGCTAGACAAACCATACGCCTTTTACATGGAGGTGTTAGCTATCTAAAAAGTACTGCGGTTGAATGAGAGGTCCTAGATGGTTAGTCAGGTCTAAGTGGCTTGTCTCCTATGGCCTCATTTACTTTTTAGATCTAGTCATTATTGGAAATGAGTATTGAAGTTTTTGGATATAAATTGTAGAACTGCCTATTTCTCTTTTTTTGGCTTGATATTTTGGTATCCAAGACAGGATTTCTCTGTGAAGTCCTGGCTGTCCTGGAACTCACTCTGTAGATGAGGCTGCCTTTGAACTCACTGAGATCGGCCTGCCTCTGCCTTCCAAGTGCTAGGGATTAAAGGTGTGCACCACCACTGCCTCACTTCTGTTTCTGTTTTTCAGGCAGTGGTATTTGTTTCATATATTTTGTTTTTGTGTTCTTTGGTGTATATATGTTAATAGTTGCTAATATTCTTGATGAACTGACATTCTTACTGTTGTATAATGTATCTTTCTGACTCTTGTTACACAAGAAAAAATGTGTGTGTGTGTGTGTGTGTGTGCATGTCTGTGTGCAGATGTATGTGTTTGTATGACTGTATAGACCTGAAGTCAACCCCCAATGGTGTTCCTTGGCAACCATCCTGAATCTTGCTTGTTGAGACATGATTTCTCACTGGACTGGATTGATGATTAGATTTGGCTAGGTGGCCAGTGAGCCCCAAGAATCTCCCGTCTCTGCCTCCTCAGCTCTGGAATAAGTGTATTCAACAACACCGACTTTATGTGGGTATAGGGAATTGAACTCAGGTCCTCATGCTTGTCTGTCAAGCATTCTACTATATGAGTTATCTTTCCAGGTTTACATTGTTTTTCATTTAAAGTTTATTGCCTGATATTATGGTTTCTCAGCTCTTTTGGTTACTATTTACATAAGTTAGTTTTTTTAAAAAAATTTATTCTAATTTTTGCCAGGCATAGTATCATATACCTTTAATCCCAGCACTTGGGAATCAAAGCCAGGCAGTTCTCTGTGGGTTGGAGGCCAGCCTGGTATACATAGTGAGTTCCAAGACAGCCAGGGCTGCAAAGTGAGACCCTGCCTCGAAATAAAACACAACAAACAAATGAAACTATTCTAACTTTCAATATATATATGTCTTTGGATCTAAAGTGATTCTCTTATACATAATGTATAGTCAACATCTCATCTGTCTTTAAAGTAAAGTTTTTCTGGAACACAGACAAGCCCATTTGTTGACATGCTGTTTGTAGCAGTTTTCATAGGACCACGGTAGAGTTTGAGACATGGCAGTGGAGACTCCGCTTTGCGGAGCCTGAAACAGTTACTGCTGGATTCTCTTTAGGGTGTTTGCTGACTCTGGTCTAGAACGCCTTTTTTTAGTTTCCTTGGCGATAGTCAATAGTACACAGTCTCACATAGCAGTAGCCTGGTGAGATCTGTCATGTGCAGCCTGATTTATCCCGAACCTTGTAAAGCGGGAAGTTCTAACAATGTATCTGGGCATTCCAAGGCCTTAGTAGGCTGAGAAGAGGAGCAAGTTTAAAACCTTCAAGTTAGGGTTGGAAGCAGCATGACTGGGATGTGGTCACCCGGTGGTGACTTCATTCATGTGGCTGACTGCTCTGATTTCCTGGGATCGGGGCACTTCTGGAACACATCTTAGATTTCATTTGTCTCTTTCTGTGGAGATTTATACAGGTAGGTGAGTGTGTATATGTGTGTTGAAGCCAGGAGCCAACCTTGGGTATTTTTCTTCAGAAGCTACCCACCTTGATTTTGGAGACAGGCTCTCTCCCCAGGGTTGGGGCTCAGTGATTATTTAAGGCAGGCTGGCCAGGGAGCCCCAGGCATCTACCTGCCTGGCTTCATGTCCCCAGTGCTGGGATTACAAGTGCAGGCCAACATACCTGGCTTTTTCTGTGGGTGCTGAGGACTGAAGTCAAGTCCTCAGTTTTGCACAGAAAACACTTTAATTACCTGAGCTGTCCTCTAGCCCAGGATTTCAGTTTTAAAAGGCCAGTTGCCCTACAGAAAGAGCTACAGGCAACTGGGGCATACTGGGAGTAGGAGAAACAGTCTTCCCCAGCGAAGAGCAAACTAATTGGTTATCTCGTATCAAATGGTCAGCCCTGAAATCATCCTTATAAGTAACATTTTATGTACCGAGCAGCTTATACTTAGGAATATATATGCATATACATATATGCATGTAATACCAATGGAAAAAGAGGCCATGAATTCGAAAGGGTATATGGGATGGTTTGGAGGGAGGAAAAGGAAAGGAGAAATGTAGTTCTAAAGTCGTCTTCCGCCCTGTCCCCTCCCACCCCTGCAAATCAGTCTAACTTGTACCCCTCTGCTCTAGTACCATTCAGGGAAACCCCCAGCTATGCAAAACGACGACGTCTGGCTGGCCCAAGCGGCTTGGCATCCCCTCGACCCTTACAGCGCTCAGCCAGTGATATCAACCTGAAAGGTGATGCCCAGCCTGCAGCTTCTCCTGGGCCCACTCTCCGAAGCCTCCCTCATCAACTGCTGCTTCAGCGGCTTCAGGAGGAGAAAGATCGGGACAGGGATGGTGAGCCGGAAAAGGACATCGGTGGCCCTGCAGCAGGCAGGGGTAGCCACAACAAGATCAGGTAGGAGGGCACGGGAGGTCCTGGAGGGGTCAGGGTGGGCCGAGAGCTATGACGAAGCAGAGCTGAAAGGCAGGGAAAGGTGGTTCGTGGTACCTGTCTTGGCGGTGATGACTGAGGCTTGCGGCCGAACTCCTGGGTGGCTTTACTCAGGCTGATCTCCGGTAGAAACTGGGGCTTGCTCTGGGGATAGCAGGCAGCCGAGGGAGTTGTGGGTGGGGAGGGTATGGTCCAGCTTGTGGTTAGAAAGCTCATTTGCAGCATGGAAACTGGTGGGACTGGTAGGAAGTGGATTGGGAATGCCTTTCTATGTAGGCTCAAAGCCTGCAAGTGAGGGTTAGCACCCCCTCTCCCCCCCCCCTCCACAACCCAGGCCCAGCCCTATAGACATTCCTACTTTTAACCTCCCTCCTGAGTCCTGGAACTTGGATATTTGCAGCACTGGTTTCCCTGTCACTTAACAGTAGGAAGCGTAGCCTGGAGCTCTTAGCCTTTATAGACTTAAGAGTAACCACCTTGCTGGCTCCTCACCAGTCCAGCGCAAGGTGTTTCCTTTGAGAAGCTCTCTGGGGGTGCCTGTGAGGGTTTGTCTTCTTGGACCCCAGTACGCTGTCTGTATTAACCACTGGTTGCAGTCTTAAATTTGCCTGGCGGTCAGGAGCTATCCTTCTGGCCTCCTGCCGTTTCTCCAGAGCCAGGTCTAGAGAAGGTGTTTGGAAGCCTGTTGGATGCAAGTGTTACATAAGCAGCATGTTGTTTTCACAGTGTCGGCCAGCTCTTATAGCCCTATGGGTTGATGTACCACTGGGCTGAGCAGCAGAGCCTGTCACTCAGCTAACCTCGATCACTTAGGCTGTCTGTGTTCACATCATTGTACAGGCTGGGGTCCTGAGGCCCAGGTTGGGCTGGAAACTTGTTTAAAGTCACAGGGAGTAGGGCTCAGCTGACCTGGGTACAGGTGTTTGGGAGAAGGTATTTGATGCATATTACATGAAGCTTTCCCTTCTGTGTTATTCCCCTGTGCATGCAGCCTGCTTTCCGGGCTACAGGCATTTTGAACCCCCCCACCCACCCCGCCCCAAGGTTGTCTGTTTGGTTCCACATCACAGTTTCCCCCTGAAGCTTTTGCATTGCCCCTTGGGTTTTCTAAGAATCGAATGGGTTGGTGGCTGAAAGAGCGCATTCTAGGATGTCGCAGTTTGCCAGGAGGGCTGCTTTCGAGTGGAACTGTGTGGCTGTCACTGGTCCCTTTCATTTGTGCTTGCTGACGCTTGCAGCAGGCACAGAATAAATGCCTCTATTCTAGGGTCTCTAGCTCACTTGCTCTTTGGGAGGGCCGAATTCCTTCTCCACATTTATTAGGTGGCTGGAGTGCCCAATCTCTGTGTGTGTGTATGTGTGTGTGTGTGTGTGTGTGTGCGTGTGTGTGTGTGTGCACGTGCATGCACCTATGCTTGCTCAGCTTGCCTCTGGCTCCCCCCCTCCCCGCCCCCCACTCCCCCCATCTCACAGTAGTGGTCCTGACTGGTTCTGAGGAAGTAGAAAGCTGGGCTTGGGGCTGAGAAGCACTTAGAAGAGTTGTGATGCAGGTTAAGGAGGCTTACCTGGTGTGACAGTGGCCTGTCAGTCATGATGTGGAGAGCAAGTTGGGCACACTGAGGAGGAAGAGACCCCCTCAGGCACAGGTTGCCTGTTTTGCAAACAAAACCAAAAACGATGGCATTCATGGACCCTGGTGGGGCTGCAGTGGCTCATGGTTGCTTGCTGTTGGCTGAGCCTGGCATGGAGCCCAGAAATATGGTCTGTAGGTTTTTGCTCCAGCACCATAGTGGAGCCCACAAGGGCAAATTTGAAGTGGATTCTGTAACTTAATCTCTGGTCAAAAGGGCAGGTTCATAGTTGTCTAGGTGGTGTTAACAGTGTAGCCTATTTCTTAAGTCTCAGAGAGCTGGTCATTGGCAGTGCAGGTGAATTTGTCCAGTCTGGGAACTAGGGAGCCCAAGCAGGCTTTTGGGCAAATAAGAAAATCAAGACCTCAGAGTCTATCCCAAGCCCAGAGAAGTGGTATGGGAAAGGTGGCCAACATAGAATGAGCATGGACATTAGACAGGTGTCTAAGGCGAGAGGAGACAGGCCCAGAGGCAGGAGAATTGGGGCGCCCAGTGCATGCTGGTGGTCAGGGTGTGAGGAGGCCGGACCGCTGCGCCCCGCCTGTCCTTCCTTCCCTGATGCCCGAAGCCTCGGTGCCAGCCCTTCTCCAGCTCCTACCTGGCACTTCTGCCCGGCGTCCCCCGTGCGCCCACCTTCTGGCTCTCGTTGTTTCTCTCCAGCCGCCCGCGCTGGGGTCGGTCTG